AGACAATGAATATTTCTTTAATCTCTTCAGGAATGGCCATGCTTTTCCAGCTGAAGTTAGAACAAGAACAACAACAACAAAAATGCCATGGTAGACACACATTCTGAAAACTTGAACCCAAACTGTTAATGTTCAACTAAAATGATAAGCAACCAAAAACCATGTCAGTTTATATATAATGGCTGTATGTAATGCCATTATATAAAGGGCAATATCAAGCAGGCTAGAGTACGTAGAGCTAATGACACTGTAATAGCTAAGATATCTTATTTCTGTGTTTGTTGAAAACTATGGACCTTTTCCATAGCCCTGTCTTTTTTAGCTTTCTTTCAGTTTGGAAATGAGAAGCATAGGTGTGGCCAAGTTGCTGTTGCAGCTGCAGGCATGCCTTGACTGCATAAGTACAGGTAATTATTTTTTCATTAATAATAGTCATAGGGAGAGAAAGAAAAACATGCTTTGTAATAATGCCTAGAGCAACTACTTTGAATTGGAAGTCGTAGGACTACTGAAGAGAAATTAACTTCCAATAGAAATATAATCTTGTGCACACTGTTCTTATTTTGAAACACTTCAAAAGATGATTTTGCCTATCCCTCGTAGAAATTGCAGTGTTTCTTCCTGCAGTTATCAGAGGATAACCTTCCTGAGATGGGTAATGAGTTATTAGAAACTGAAAAATGCTATATACAATTCGTGACAATTTTAGTAGCATCACGGAAATGAAAAAGTATTTCTCTGTATTTTAAAATTAACATTAATCTGAATGAGGCCTATATTTCCTTGGCAATGTATCGTATATTTAGGCACATGCATTACTAAGGTGGACAGTTTATTGTTCACAAGGACTAGGGCATTAATTGGAAAGGAAACATGGAATATGATCTAGACATGCTGTCTTGACGGGCTGCTACTGTAAAATAGGGTTATTCTCACAACTTCACAAGCAAATCTATTGCCTATCTTCAGCTTTTTCTTACAGAGCTGACTTATCCCTGCTATAGTGCCAGATGGATTGACCTGAAAAAGAAGGGGAGAAGAAATGAGGTGACTGAAAGTGTATCATGGAACAGCTAATGAGACATCTCTAAGGTCGTTGATGTTGTTTCTGCATGCAGTGAAGGGCAGTGCTTCAGGGAGTCTCCAAAGTCTTCTGATGGAAATGAAGGTATGGATCCAGTCCCTTTTCTATAAATACATGGGGCACAGAAATACGACTGCTAGAAGACACACTTGCTGACTGCGATTTATACTGTCTCAGTCCCCAAGTACTAAGCTGGGCTCTCCTGAAGTTGCTGTAACTCATACCAGTTGTCAATAATCTAATTTTGATAAATCAGGGTATGTCCCTAACAAGCATATCTGTCGTAATCCTTCTTATGCCAGACGTGGAGCTCCTAAGACAATTCTGAGAGCAGGATTTTTCTGTAAGCCATGGCAGCTCTCCTGCATTTTGCCTTGAATGTTGTATCTCTGAAAAAATTTCCTGATTTGTTGTCTTTCACCCTGTTACCTCACATTCAATATTGCCCTGTAGATGTGAGGAAACACAGCAAGTACTGATCAGATTACATTGGGTTATTAGGTTGGGTTTTAGCCCCATAATTTTTATGCGTTAGAGGAGTACGTGCTTTTGAAATACGCTCCAGGAGCATCAGCAGAATCTGTGACTAATTGGGGGGGGGGGGCAGTCTTTTTTCAGCCTAGCATCTGCTTTTACATAATTGAACAGCACACCTCTTGTGGGGCCACATCTCAGCTCACCTTTCAGTATCAGTGGGAAAGGATGGGTAGGTGTAGCACTGCGTGACTGTTGAGGACCATCTAGCCATGATTTTTGCAGTGGTAGTGAAGATAAGCAGTGTAGTGGAAGGATGGCCTTGAGATCACCCTAGACCTCTGGGACATCACAGTTTGCCTTCCCAAGTTCCATTCTCCCCATTTGTAAACTAAAAAAGACATCCACCTGCCCGCCTTTACCTTACTTTGTGGTGTGAAGTGGAAGCTGTTAAGATAGCAAAAGTAGCAAGTGCTGCAAAGTGTTATTACTGTGTGTATGTATGTACGCTCGTGTTTTGTGTGTGTAGTTTTGTCAACTTGTAGTTCTTGTATACATATCTACCCAGAAGTTGGTGTCAATTGAAAGAAGTAAACATGTCCCCTTTTCATTTAATTTTTTAGCATCAGATCGGCTCGTCTTGAGTTTTCATGCTGCAATATTTTCAGCTAAAAGCTTCACTGCATTTTTACATAACATTAAGTATAGGAAGGTAAAACCACAAAACACAAAAAGAGACACCCAGATACATCATGTCGCAGCAAGAAATCCCTTCAGTGTGTTCCAGAAGAGTACAGATTCCTTGAAATAAAAAGAGAATAGCTTTGTAGAAACACAAGGAAAGAACTTGAAAGTCTGAATGGCAGGATATATTTGTGGTACAGTTGATGTTAAAATATTTCATCTTTTCAACCTCTAGGGGGGACTATGTTTTCAGCGAACCTGTCTGTGAAGAATTTTCTTAATCTGCAGCAGGCAGCTCAGACTGTCGCTAATGCTAGCTGGAGCGAGTCAAGTGATTCTTGATTTGTGTATGAGTTATTTCTGGGGGGAAAAAAGCCTGTGTCTGAAATGACTTTAGTCCTAAAAGGCCAGCCTGAAATCTTTGCTTTCACTGCAGTCCGCGGGCATTCTGCCTGCTACTGATTCACGATTGCAGGATTTGTTCCTATTAAAAAGCATTTATGTAGCTGAAAAAACTGTCTGTGGAGAAATGTTGAATTTATAGCTATGGAAAATACTGTAAGTGAACTAATGAAGAGGTGGATTAAGTGACATTTTGAATTGGGATTAACAAGTAAATCCTCATGCATAACTTTCTGGCTCAGAAAAATAAATCAATCACAGGCTGGGATTCTTCTTTATAAAAGCACTTGTGGTGAAGGGAAACAACTGAAATATTAATGACACTTTGAGCCCGCAGAGACACTGTGACTCCCATAAGGCTAAATGCAATTGCTCAGGTGAGTAAGGACCACAAACTGTTGGCCAAATCCTTTTCTGAAAGCATCAAAATTGGTCTTCGACGTTACTACTGCTACACAGTACTGGCTAGATGCCTTTTGTTTCTTTTTCCCCTCATGTTGGCACTGCTTCTCCCACTCTTATTCATTCCCAGCAGTACTTTACCTCACAAGGAGCAGCCAGTGTGAAGGGATGGCAGCCCTGTGATTTATGGGCTTACTATCTCTTCCGTTGTGTTTACACAGCTTATGCTCAAATAAGACAGCTAGGAGAGTATGGAGCTCACACATAAAATGAAAACGATATTCTGGTGGGGGAAGGAGGGAATCAAGAGAGATCCGTCCAGATTTCGGTGTTGTAAACACATCTGTAGGGTCACCATAAAGCAGTGACTACAAAGGTCAGCATTTCAAAATGTGTCTTAAGAAAATGTTTTTGCAAGCTTTGTGGTGAAGATGGCTGGTGTGTTGTATATTGTAACATTCTGCTTAATCTCCACTCTGTTATATGGAGTCATTTACAACAAAAAAATGCCTGACATAACTTACAGTACAGGAACATACAAAGCCAGCTTCACCAGGGTGGATGTTTATGTAATCTTCAAGAACACTCTGAAGTTCGATTCAGCAATCAAATAAAACTACGTGAGAGGCACATTTCTCAGAGGCGCTACCCATGTTTGAATTTCTGAGCTTCTTTATTTTACCGAGCTCCATTAGACAACTGCTCCTGAAAAAAAGATTTTTTTTTTTGGACGATTATTTCTGTACATTATTTGCTGTTTTCGTTCCACTTTTCAGTTGTAATTGCACAAGTGTTCCCAGCTCTTTTTTCATTTTAGTCGAGGCATCTTAAAGGTGAGCATATGGTCACCCCGGGAGTGCAGGTTTCCCATTCATAGACTGCACAGTGAGGGGGGCAGCAACAAAAGTAAGTTTACACATACTGCCCTGACAACGACCTCTGTGCTGAACTAAACAAACCCCTTCTGTAAAGCCAGGAGCAGTTCACTCACCTTTCGAATGCAAACCTGGCACTCTCTGAGTAACCATAAAACATCAAACCGCACAGCCCTGCTCTGGGCTTGAAGATGTGTGCTGTTAGGGGGCACAGAAAGCTCCGTAGAGAGCCATCCTTTAGGATTTTGCTGTCAAAAAGCATCAGGTATTCCAAAGCCTCTTTCACAAAACATTTTGCATGTTCCGCATCGACCTTACTCCAGAACAGGAGTGTCCATTTTAAATGGACACTAACAAAACCTTAAGCATAGCAGCTTTACAGCCAGTGAGCACAGGGGCGCATTTAACATGCTCTGACTAGGCAGTGTTGTCAAGATAATTAAAAAAGTTCTTCTTCTTTTTTTCCCCAAGAAAATAATCTCGGAACAGGACTTGTCTCCTTCACTGGGGAAACCGCCTGCTGCCTGGGGCACGAAACTTTGTCTCTGAGACACGGTGGGTGGAAAACCGTGTATGCGCCCTCTTGCCACGGGGGTCTCAGAAAGACCCCAGAGGGACACGGGCAGGGGTCAGGGATCGGGCCTCAGGGATCCAGTGCCAGCTTTCCCGTCGGGTTCTGCCGCCCCTGAGCACGGGCATCTCGCCACGGGTGAGGAGCCGGGAAGCCCTGCTTGCGCCCTGCCGCAGCTGCCTGCATCCCCCAGCGCTGATGCTGCAAACCCCCCCTTCCCCAAATCCCCCAGCCCTGCCGAGCACCGACCCCTAAGCCCT